AATGACAGGCTCTTCGTGTGTGTGTGTGTGTGTGTGTGTGTGTGTGTGTGTGTGTGTGCGCGCACACACACTTCTAGTGCAAGTGGTTATAGGTAGAGAAGAGTCAAATCACATTTCATGTTTATGTGTTTCAGTAAATTTTTGTTTTTAAATGTTGGTATTTAGGGACATGCATTTGGTGAAGAGGTTAAGATGCCTCTTGGAATGATATTACAGTGCCTGAATTCAGCTTCGAGCTAGGATCCTGCTTTTAGCTTCCTGCTGTGCCCATGAGCAGCAGGGGGTGGCTCAAGTGCTGGGATCCCTGCCATGCATGGGAGACCTGGGGCGAGTTCCCAGCTCTCCAGTTCTTCCAGGCCTAGCCTCCTCTGCTGCAAACATCTTGGAGAGTGAACTAGTGAAAAGGACATCTCTCTGTCTCTCTCTCTTTCTGTCTCTCTCTCTCTCCCTTTCCTCCCTCCCTTCCTCTCTTTCCCTCTGCCTTAAAAAAAGATTAAACTCAAGGACTAAACTTTCAAGTTTACATGGAGAATTGGAGCAAACTATGTTACCCATAACTTGTCAGTAAAATGAAGCATCTGAAAGTTCCAGCCAGAACTGCTCATTTGACTCAGGATTTAGAACATACTGAATTAATTGTTTTGTTACCAACTGGGAAAGTTACCATTTTTAAATCCAGCATTTTTTCTGCCCCTTTGCTGTCTCCGGGCTCACAGCATGTTTTCTGCCAGCATAAAGTGTGAGCCTTGGTTCTGACCATTTGCATATGTGTAAATGCATCCCCATGTGGAAGGAACATGGAAGCCTCATTTACTCATAGCCACTGTGTCTTGCAGGACTCCTCAGGTATGAGTGAAGATTCAAATTTACCCAGTTTGGGCAATCAATACAGTGTCTTACAGGAAGCTAAAGCAACACATACACACAACTGGGAACCTCTGGACCTGGGAGTGTATGACCTGCTGTCAGTAGTTGGCCTCATGGCTCTGTTCTTTGCTTCTTCTGTGTCTCACTGCAGACCGATTTTCTCCACCTAGCTTTCAGGTCTAGCATCACGCTGTGTCAGCTGCTAGTGAGTGCGGCCTATTCTAAATCCTGGCCTCTCTGGAAGTGAATTCAGCCCTCATCTTGTTGAGGCAGTGGGTTCATGTGAGAATATGGCAGCACCAAAGGGGCCAAGGAGTGTATTGAGTGTATTGAGGAGCAAGGAAGAGGAGCAGGCGATGTTCCGGGAGGAGGGGATGCCTCAGCTTCCCAGAAGATGAGGTGTCTGCCACTGCTGGTGTTCTTGCACGTTCCTGAAGATGTACCATGCATCTGAGTGCCTGCTTGAAATCATTTGGCAGACTTCACTGTAATCTTTCAGACTCCTTTTTTCCTTGCAGCTTGTCAACTACAAGCTTTAATTATAATTATTCTACAGCAGGCATGTACTTGTGCTTCTAACTCATTTGTCAAATTGAGCTTAATATACTTAAAAAGTCCAGAGAGAGAGAGAGACCGTGTCTTTAAGACAACAGAAGGCTGAGCTGTCAGCTCCCCATCATGTTGGTAATCCAACGCCCCCGCACCCGGGTGGTGCTCAGCTCCTCCGTGGTCCCGATGTAATCAGATTCTGTCAACTGTTGCCCTGCCTGAGTGGCTGTGAACTTTGCACAGCTGGAAAAGTGAGCCTTTTCTTCTTCCCCATCTAGGGATGTAAGCCAAGAAAAAGAAACCAGTCTGTAGGCACTGACTTCCAGTCTTCGTGCCTCTTGAGTTGAACTAGTGAAGTTCGAGGTGTGGTGCAGCAACTAAAGCAACCACAAACAACACCAGCAACCCACACGGGTGCTCATTCGAGTCTTAGCTGTTCCACCTCTGATCCAGCTTCCTGCTAATGGCTGGGAAAGCAGCCAAGAGTGGCCCATGTGGCCCCTGCCAGGTGAAATTCCTGGCTTCTGACTTTGGACTGGGCCAGCCCTTGCTGGTATGGTCATGTGGGGAGTGAAACAGCAGATGAAAGAACCAGCTCTCCCTCCACACTCTGTCCCACACTTATATCTATAACTTGGACTTTCAAGTAAGTAAATATATTTTTTTAAAACAACAAAAACAGCCCAGTTAATCATATGTTCTTGAAAACTGCTGAGAGTGGATGTGGTATTCTCACCACAAAAGTAACTATGTGAAGTAATGCATATGCTAATTAGCTGGATTTAGTCATTCCACAGTGGGGAAATACTTAAAGCATCATGTTGAATGTCGCAAGTGTGCATTATTTTACCTGTAAATTAAGCAGAAAGTTAACTTAAAAACTGCTGAAGGACCTAGTCTTTCCACCCAGGGGCAGGGAGGGCCTGGCGGTAGTTTTCCGCTCAGAACTAATTGCCTAGGTTCCAAGTCCATTAAAACTAAAAATCTTGCTCATCTTGCCTGTGCTTTGCAGGGTTAGCTTTCCCTCTGCTCTTGGCAGGTTCTGTCTCCAGTCCTGTCTTTGCCGGAATTTAGGATGAAGTGAGGAGAATCTGCAGTCCAACTCTGGGCCCCCAAGTGATTGCCTGTTGCCATGGAAACAGTTTCAGGCCTCTCAATTAAAACTGCCCCTGCAGGCTGGGGAGAGTAAGTATTACAGTGAGCCAAGTGCTGATCCTCCAAAGGATACCGGGAGAGGACAGATGATCCAGGAATCTACCGACAGTCAGTAGCATGCTTTCATGCCTTTTCAGGAAGAAGGATCCAGAGATTTTTAGGTGCTGGTTCGTGTACTTGCTGCACTGGGCTGCTCAGATCATCCCTTTAATCCACTGAGCTCCTTGTGTGCAGGGATGGCCCATGCAGGACTGTTTGGGAACAGTCTGATCTTTACCCAGACGTGAGGGAGGGTGAGTCATAAATCATTACAAATGGGTGAAATCATAGTGAATCTTAGAGTTGGAGGGAACCTAAAGGTCAGATGGTCCCCATTTGCCATCTGTTTTGGCCAGTGTAACGTAGACTCACAGAGTCAGCCACCTATGAGAAGGCCCATGTCTCACAGGGCAGCCTTTTCTGACCCATTATTAGATATCTGAGGATGATAGCTATGCCTCAGTGAGAGGGCACCGACACGTGTCTCTCTCACTTCCACATCTGCTGCTTGTTTCTAGTGCCAAACCAACTGAGTCTACTTCTCCCATCAAGACCTCTCCCATGGGGCCACTGTTAGGGTGTGGTAGGTTAAGCCACCACCTGTGATGTCAGTATCCCCTTTCAGAGCACTGGTTCCAGTTTGGATCCAGCTGCCTATTAAATGTATCAGGCAAGGGAGCAGAAGATAGCCCAAACACTTAAGCCTATTCCACCCATCAGGGAGTTCCAGATGAAGTTCCTGACTCTGTTCTTCAGCCTAACCCAAGCTTCAGCTTTTTTGGACATTTGGAGAGTAAAACAGTCAATAGAAAATCTGTCACTCCATGCCTTTATCACTCTGTCTTTCAAATAGATTCTTTAAAAAAAAAATTCAGGTACTAAATGTTACCAGCTAACCATAAAGTCTTCTCTTGCACTGACTGGGCAGGTCCAAAACATTAAGACTCTGAAGTCTTCACCTGTGGTTAGCACAGTTGCAGGAAGGACTGGGGGCCCCCAGCGCAGAGCCCTTGGATTTTGTCTGACTTCCTGGCCAGCTGGTTTCCCAGCAGCCCATGTGTAGGTGTAGATTCTGCTGCAGTGTTTGCTGTTATGTTTGCGCTCAACTGTTGCCTTCCTGGTGTGAGCAGTCATAGCTCAGAGCTTGAAGATGTAAGACAAGAAAGACAGAATGGATCAAATCATTGATGGCTGTGGTTTTACGAAGAGTGTGGCTGCCAAAGTGTAAATGCATCCTTCATTCCTAATTGCTTCAGTAACCCCTCAGCCTCTTGCCTGTCACTTTCTGTAAACCCTTGGCTGTGTGTGTGTGTGTGTGTGTGTATGTTTCAGCCTTTTCTTTGGACCATTTCCTTCTATGTGTTCTGCTATTTACATTCTATGTTCTGAAGTCAGCATCCCCCTAAGAAGAAGCACACAGAAAGACCAAACAAATACAAATGGTATGTTCCAAATATTCCTGCAAGCTTAAAATGCACGAAAACTCCCAAACTCAAGTGCACATGTGTGCTGACTGAGAAGCAGGTGCCTGGTTTCCTGGGGAGGCAAGGAGTGCAGAAATAGACATTCTGTTCTAGTTCCAGCAAATCGATAGGTGTGTGACTGTTGGCCGATCACCAAATCACCCTGAGTTCCATTTTCCTCAAGTATAAAATCAGATGACTACTGCTTGTTCTTGTAGGCCGTTGGGAGTGCTTTGAAAACTAATTTTAAGACTTTACAGCAAGCTATATTATACACTGGGGTATTTTGATTGGAGAATTGCAAACAGATTTAATGAAAAATATATGAAATATAGGCGATTTTGAGTACTTTAGACCCACACACATCCATAGTTTCAAATTAACAGTAGCTGACCTCCACCTAGAGAAACAGGAAGTGTCTTCCTTACAGTGTTAGAGGAAAACCTCATGGCTTCTTGCTGCCCCTTTGCTTCCTGGGAGATGCCGAGGACTTTGCAGTGGTAGCTGACTCACCTCTGTATTTTCCCTGGAGATATTAGGTGGCCTGTCCTTCCTTGCGAGGTGCTTTTGTTGCACACCTGTGTTTCTTGCTTGTTTATTTTTTACTCAATACCACTTACAGTTGAGGACATGGAAAGCAAAAGTAACATCTACTTCTCCCTGTAGAATCTGATAACACTTTATGTGGTGTTTTTTTCTTTTCCTGTATATATGTTTTTACCAAAACATGTGACAAAAATGTCAGCAATTCCTCCATATCTATTTCCTAGTCCTTTTTCTTGTAGTGTTTTTACAGTTTTAATCACACTGATAATCAAATGCCATCCAATGTTTTTCTTTAGTGGTTTTGGGGAAGAACAATAATTGGATACTAGAGAACTGGTCCCATAATCCAGTGCCTTGTTTTCTGTTCTTCTCTTCCTCCAGGGAGTCCTGTCCAACATCTCTTCCATCACTGATCTTGGTGGCTTTGATCCAGTGTGGCTCTTCCTCGTGGTGGGCGGAGTGATGTTCATTTTAGGTTTTGCAGGGTGCATTGGAGCACTACGGGAAAACACATTCCTTCTGAAGTTTGTAAGTATCATATGCCCTGCTGCCCAACCAAGAGTCAAGCTCTTTATGTTACCTCAGGAGGACACTGCCAGCACAGACAAGACAATGAGCTATACTAATGGCCCTGACAAAGCTATGGTCCAAGTCTTGCTTTGCTTTGAGGTGAGCTCTGTACATCCTGTGCCCACATTCCCCTGTTATGCTTTCTTTATAATAGAGATACCACCCCACCCCATGCCATGCATGGAAGGTTTGTACATGCCTATGCTTGCATTACAGATTTGCAGTTAAGTTCCTAACAGTTTTTGGACTAATAGAGCCCTTAAATGTGTACACATTATTTTTTTAAATGATGTCTCTCACCTTTCCACTTCGCATGTAGCAAGTCAAGAGCTGTGCAGGCAATGTCTTAGAGGAACCAGGCAGAAGGATAGTGACTAAGTCCTGTCCAGAGTAAGTCTGCCAAGCAGCAGGTTTGGTACAAGTAGAGCAACGGTGTGACGGTAAGTCTCCCTCATCCTTAGGACAAAGGTCTCCATTGTTGTGTAATCATTGTTAACGTCTTTGTAGGGAACTGTTAATCAGGGAGTTTAGAAGTATTAAAAGTGAAAGTAGAAGAGGTCAGAGCAGAACACATGGAATGTGCCAGCAAATACGTACATTGGTTCTGTAAGTGTAGCCAGGGCGCAGACCCACATGCTTGTCGGTGTGGAGCTGGCATTCCCCCAGGTGTGTGACCCACAGCCCTGAATGTGAAGCCTGCACTCCCTCTCCAAGAACAAATAGGTGATCAGAAGGCCACACATTTTTATGGGGAGGCAGGGTGGGAGGGATTTCTATAGAAGAAGATCATTGTGCTGCAGCTTTTGTCACTTATTCCTAGAGTCACTCACAGCCCTTGTTGGCACAAGGTCATCTGGGAAATGTCCATTTAAAGCAAGAAGAAAGCCTGAGACCAATCTCAATAGCCAGGCAGCGTGTGGTTCTCTTCCCCAGGGTTCCCACCATCCCATCTCCCTGCATCTTCTCATGAACAGTCCTAAGAACAGAGATCTCATTCTTCCTCACCCAGGGCACCCAGTTTTGATTTGAGCAATTGAGATTCAGAGAAGAGAAGCTCTGGGAGGCTGTTTCACCTGAACGTTGACATGAATCATGCTAACACAGAAACGTTTAATTTACTGAGCAGCTGATTCTGTGTTCTGTATACAAGAGGGTATGGTAGAGTGACCAAATTTCCAAGACTCTACCTGCCAGATTCCTCCCTTTCCTCATGTGCAAGCAAATGCTTCGTGGAGTAGTGTGTCACCTTCAGGAGAGCTTTGTCCTTGACCATGATCCGCCAACCTGCCAGTTTTCTCAGGATTTGTGTCAAAGGACTGAGCTCGCTTCACTCAGCTTTTGTGGCTTGATTGGGCCTTATACTTATGTGCTGCCAGTCTTTGATTAGATGAAGCTTCCAGCTCCAGGAAGTGTGATCCCCTTTGATATGACTTAGATGAACATTTTTTTTTAAATCATGGTAGCACCTTTAATGGGCTTTATTGTTTTTATAGCTGACAATATCAGAGCTAATTGAAGATAGAGAAATAGACACGTCTGTGAAAATTAACATCTTAATTTATAAAGTTCTCAATTGGAAATTTAAAAAAATATTGTTTCCTGGCTTTTTTAAGTACTAAAGAATATTTGAAGTGTCCTCTTTCTATATATATTTAGAATAAACCATGAAAACTGTGCCAGAATATCCTTGGCTTGACATTTAAGACGCTCCTGTTCTATATTTAAGGACTGGCATTCCCTTCCCAGCTTCCTGCTAATGAAGACCCTGCTAATACCCTATTGCTTGAACAGTGATGACTCAAGTGTTTGAAATCCTGCCACGCACATCCTGGCAGGATCCTGGACTGTGCTCTCAGCTTTAGACTAGGCCAGACCCAGCCATTATAGGAGCTAGGAGAGTAAACTAACAGATGGCAACAATCTCTGTCTGGTCTCTCTGTCTCTGAAATATTTTCTTTTCAGTGAACAGGAGCTGTGCGATAATCAGGCAGCAAATGTGAACTCAGCTCCAAACCTCTTGAAGGGTCTGATTCTATAGGGCGGTGTTGTAGCACATTGGGTTAAGCCACAACTTGCAATACTGGCATCTCATGTTATAGCACTGGTTTGAGTCCCAGCTGGTCCTCTTCCTGAACAGCTCCCTGCTAATAGGTCTGAAAAGACACTGGGTAATGGCCCAAGTCTTCTGCCTGTGCCACTCACATGGAAGACCAAGATAGAGCTTCTGACACCTGGTTTCAGCTTGCCCTGGTTCCCACTGTTGCAGTCATGGAGTAGAGCATCTCTCTGTAACTCTGTCTGTCACATGAACACATCTTAAGAAAAGAAAGAGAAAGAAAAGAAGAGAAAAAAGAAATGGTAGATCTGATGCATAATGCCAGAAAAATTGCCAAAAGAAAATCCCAGCGAAAAGATACTATACCATGAGACAAGTGAAGTTCTTAAGGTTGACTGAAGCCTGTGGATGAAGTCTGAGTCAGTCTCTACCCTCTTAGGGGAAGCTGGCTCACAGGGCTTGGCTCTTGAAGGCCTCTACCGGACACTTGATATGAGTTGACGTTAGATTTGGATTTTTGATATGTGTGTTATGTAACATGATGAGAATATTTATCAAGGGAACTGAAAACTGAACTTACCTAACCTTTATGGAGGCGCCCCTGCCTACTCCAACCCTAACTCTGCAGTCTTCAGGTCCTCACTTGAGCAGAGCTGGCCCTTCCTGTCTTTGTTCATGCCAAAGTGGGAGAAGGTTGAGGATGTGGGAGTGGTGGGACCTGGACGAAACTGTGGGCGGCAATGTGAAACCCATACAACTAAGAATAGGAGGCTCTTCCGAGTGTTCTTAGATGGGCGGGGAATTGCCCTGATGTTCCCAGCAGTTAGCGCACTGCTTACAGCCACTCCCCGTCAGCTCTTGGCTGTGTGAGCCAGGAGTCTGCCTTTGGCTGTGCTTTGAGGTCTCTAAAATGTTTCCCGAGCCTGGTGCTTCCCAGAGCATGGCGTGCATGGCTGCATTCCTGAGAACGCCCTCAACCCAAGGGTTTTGTTTTCATGCTGGGAAAAGTCTCTTCTTTTCATAGTCACACGCCACTCCCACCCAGCCCCCAACTTCCTCTTTGACCTCTTCCTCTCAGATGAACAGATCTGTTATTTTATGTGTTACAGCAGGTGCAGAGGGGAATTGAAATGGTGTCTGAGTCCATAAAAGCGATAGGTGGCACCCAGAATCAAGGCCATGGTAACAAATGACAGGCGACCTTAACATAATGGGACAGGCAATCTTTTGAGCAAGAAAAATCTTACCAGAGTTGGGAGCAGGTCATTGTTGAAGCATCTGGCAGTACATTAATCATGAAGAAACTCATTAGGCCTTAATGTGGGTCTAATGCGAAATTCCTATTATCCATGTTTGCTTATGGGTTTATTGGTTAATTACCAAATGGAACACTAGAGATCCTAAAATGTGATTGCGAAATGATTTTTAATTTTTAGAAATCCTTTCTTGGAGTGAAATACTGTAGTAATGAGCCTTAAGAAACTAAAGATTATCTGCTTTGGAGATGTGTAGCAATGAAGTATAACAGCAAAGGCTTTCGGAGAGGAACTAACTAGATCTGATCCCAGCACCCCTTGTAACTGTTCCCTCTGTGTGTGTTTTTGTCCTAGTTTTCTGTGTTCCTGGGAATTATTTTCTTCCTGGAGCTTACTGCTGGGGTCCTGGCATTTGTTTTCAAAGACTGGATCAAAGACCAGCTGTATTTCTTTATAAACAACAACATCAGAGCATACAGAGATGACATTGATTTGCAAAACCTCATAGACTTCACCCAGGAATATGTAAGTTTACATTTGGTCTCTTTTCAAGTTGGAAGCCTTCTCAGGATGCTGACCCTGGTGCAAACCCCTCCTGATTCTGCCAGTTGGAAACTCCCTCCCCTTGGGTGCATGCTTTTCTGTTTGTTTGCCTTTTTTTTCAAATTTATTATTTTCTAGCTTGCTATAAAATACAGGTCTTGCATCCTAAGTAAGAATGTCCTATTTTCACTTGTTTGCATTTGTAGTCAGTTGGAAGAAAAATTAAGAAAATCCCTGAGTGAAAGGTTTATCGTCACGCTGGCCTTTTCCTATGAGCATTGAAAAGGCTTTGCTTTGTCAGAGGCTTACAGTTTTTACTTGATTGTGAAATGTTGGTCTTTTCTTGTTGTTTGCCTCCTTTCTGGTAACCCTCCCTATATCACAATTCATAACAGTATGCTTACTAGAGTGTTTAAACACAAGTTTCCTGCAGTATGATATTTCAGATGTTATCATAGCCCATGCAAGAGAAACCAGAAGAAATTACCAAGTGCTAGAGGCTTCTGGCAAGTGAAGTCTGGCCTGCTCCAGGTCTCTGGTGACAGCGGTGTGATGGCTTAGGCGGTGCACACCAGGAGGCAGTTGTGCTCAAAATACAAAGTGGTATAAAGAGGGGGCAAAAGACCTCGGACTGGTGCCAAAAACCTGATTGACTGTGTGACTGTGGGTTAATAATGCCTTCTCTTGCTTCTGCAGAACTGAAGTAAAAATAACAATAATTGTAGTCTCACTCATGAGATGGTGGTGGCACTGTGATGTAGGTAGATGTCACTGTTAGACAAACTGGCCTTTATTGACCTGCGCTGTAAGATTGGATAAGTTGAGTGAGACTGTGCCAGTAATGTTTACAGCAAGAATGGAGGGCAACTAGGAGCTCAAGGAACCAGTGACCTTCTTGGAGTTAGTTTTCTAGAATGTGCTGGAGCCACCTAGTTAAAGGGCAGCCTCGGGGCATGGGCTGTGATCATAAGGGAGGATACTCTGAGCCCATTGATGCAGAGTAGGCTGCCTCTGCAGCGTGAAGTCAAGGCCGTTTGCATCTCCGCATCAGCATCAGCCTGGTTAGATCATAAAGGATGCAAGCTCATAGGGTTACTCCTGACTTGTCTGTATGACAAATCTGATGGAGCTTTGTAGCCACACCTGGGAGGAACCCATGCACCTGAAGACGTGGTCTACACAGCTTCTCTAGGAATGCCATTGGCTCCGTGAGATTTCGTATTTCTGTGATGGAGTTTCATGTTTTGAACTAGCTGTTGTTCTTGAAAGCCTAACATGATCCAGGCTGGATGATTTATTTAACTGGGAGGAATATAAAAATGGTCAGTCAGTCCCTGTGAGTCAGGCTCCCCTCAAGATGCACCAATTTTGATACCATTTTGCTATAATTAGGTTCCTGGCTTTTTAAGGTTGGAAATACAAATGCAGGCTCTTTTTTAAAAGTTCAGAGAAGAAGCAAATATAATACAATGTAAACCCCTAAAATATTGGCAGGGCCAGTGGCTAGATCCACTCTCCTGATTGTGCTAGTGGCTGTGCAATGTATGCACCTGTTCAAACTTACTGAATGACACATTTTGAAGATGTGCATTTTATTCTATGTTAGTCATACCTCAAGAAAACATTTCTAGAAATGACTATTAAAATAAATATTAAAAAGTTGGGCCTGGCACAGTAGCTTAGTGGCTAAAATCCTTGCCTTGCATGTGCTGGGGTCCTATGTGGGCACCGGTTCTAGTCCTGGTGGCCCTTCCTCCCATCCAGCTCCCTGCTTGCAGCTTGGGAAAGCAGTCAAGGACAGCCCAAAGCCTTGCGACCCTGCACCCATGTGGGAAACCCAGAGGAAGCTCCTGGCTCCTGGCTTTGGATCAGCTCAGTTCTGGCCATTGCAGCCACCTGAGGAGTGAATCAGTGGATGGAAAATCTTCCTCTCTGTCTCTCCTACTCTTTGTATATCTGACTTTGCAATAAAAATATAAATATCTTAAAAAACAAATATTAAAAACTTAAAGTGAGGCATATGGGTACCCTACCCATGGCTTACGTTGCTGTGTCTTGTCTGTTCTTCTAGAATATTCTCATTTCTCCTTCTAAAATGTATCCAAGCCAAACAGATTTTGTTCTGACTGGGTCCTTGGTCAGCCTAACAGCAGGAGTCTTATGCATTGCAGAAATCATAGGCCAATCACAGACCAGCACATCCTTGCAGAAGCTTCTCGGGGACATTGAGGGTGAGCTTCACTTAAAGATGAATTCTGAGCCAGAAGAGGTTAGGGCAGGTAGAAGCCAGATGTCGTCTGGTAGGTGTGCATGTGGGCACCTGGACGCCTCCGAGGAAGATGTTCTAATTCTCTCCTGTTTGCTCTAGTGGCAGTGCTGTGGGGCTTTTGGAGCTGATGATTGGAACCTAAATATTTACTTCAATTGCACAGATTCCAATGCAAGTCGAGAGCGATGCGGCGTGCCCTTCTCCTGCTGCACTAAAGATCCAGCAGTAAGTGAGCAGTGAGCACCAGCCCACCATGGGCCGGTGCCCACACATGCATCCCCACCAGCGTGGCATGGGCACGCATGGCGGTTCTCTTCCTGTAACTGCTTCTCACCTGTTTATTCCTGACTGTGGCTCAGGCAGGGGGTGTAACACTCAGATCTTCCCGGTAGGAGTCATCTCTGCTGACGTTCACATCACATCCTGCAGTGGTTCTTGTTCTGAATCTTTGTTTACGGGTATAAGCTCATTTACCTTCACAGCATTCCTACCAGCAGACACTCCTACTCCGTCGCTTTGCTGGGGAAGAAGCCAAGGCGTGCGGAGACTTAGCTGGTTCAGCTCCCACTGCCAGCCATTGATGGAGGGGAGCTTTGGTCGACCCAGGCACCTGCCTGTGTTACCTGCCGTTCTTCTTTCAGAGAAGGACAGGCTCATTGGTGAGCGCTCTGCTTGGCATTAGGGTTAGGAACCTTTTTGTCCCCACTTAGTCTGGGAAAAGTATTTGGAGTAGGCAGAGGGCCTGAGGCCAGAGAGAGCTGGGTTATATTGCATGAAAACCCAGAGCCACCCAGACCCTGGGATGGCTTAGTTGCCATGGTAGTTGCAGCTTATATTGTATGTTCCAGAACATATGTGTTTGAATAAAATACATGTGTAAAAATAATAAATAGGATATTAATGTAGTAAATGTAAACATAGTAAAATATAGACATAAAACCTACTTATAAGCCACTGCCTTCTACTGCATCTTTAGTGATTAGGGGCTGGCTTGTGGGCCTGTCCCTGGGATGGCTTCCGTGTGATTCCTTCCTGGTGAATGAAGGGCCAGCACCGAGTGTCAGAACAGCAGGTTTGACAGTCCCTGCTGCACTTGCCCCTGCTTGCTCCTAGCCATTTGGGGACTCTTCAGCCTGCCCCTGGTGACCCTGAGTGACCTCCCCTAGATCTGCCTTTTCCCCCAACAAGCAGCAGACTGCACGGACAGCTCTCCTCATTTCTGAGGTGGCAAAGCAGACCTTCCCTGCAGGCTGCCCACCAACCACATGCCAGGCTAGCCTGCTTTCCGTGGGAGATGGATGGTGCTCTGAGGTCTGGCCCACAAAGCTGCCTGCCCCACTGGTTCCTGTCCCACCTTCTCCTGAGGAGAACTGGGGCCTAAGGCGCCCATTTCCAGTCCCAGGTGGTCCCCTGTCTACCATTCCTGTTCGATGTTAGCTTCTGTTAGAATTCTGAAGAGTTTTAGAGGGCATTAAGCCTCGCTCTCAATGTCAGATTTTTGGAGTAGAGAGTCCTCCCTCCTTCAACTTGATGCTAATCCTAGTGGCCCCACACCTGGCAGAAGGGGAAAAGAAGCTAACCCAGAAAAACAGAACCATGTTTCTGATCAGGTCCTGAGATCTGTCTGTGTGATACACAAGTGGTTTATTTTTTAATTATTGAAATAAGCCATTCCCATTGAAAAACCACTTCAATAATGCCAAAGTATGTAGAATAAAATGTAGACATCTGGAATATTATTCAGCTGTAAAAAAGAAATTTGTCATTGACAGCCAAATGCTTGGAACTGGAGTACCTCATGTTGAGTGAAATAAGCCAGACAGGGAAAGACAGATGTTACATGTTCTCCCTTATATGTGGGAGCTAATATAGAAAAAAGGAAGGAAGGGAGAGAAGGGGAGGGTTCCTGTCAGTTCTGTTGGCAAACAGTGTTTTGTCAAACTTTGTTTTAAATATCTGTCCCACAAATTAGTGGGAATTATATACTACTGTGATATTTTAGCCTTTATACAAGTGAAATTGAGCCTCTTCTCATTTGATTAGTTTATAACTCTTGCCTATTTTCCTGCTGGGCTATGGTCTTTTTACTTGTTGAACTCTTTATTTAAGTAAAACCATTAAGCCTTTGACTTATGTAAATTTAAAATGTTATCTTTTAGTAATAAACCATTTAAAAGTTGAAATTTCAAAGCGTCCCTCAGAGAGCCTGAATGGGGATGAGCTTCATGTGCCTTCAGTGTGGTTTGAATCTGACTCCACCTCTGTATATTCCACATGCCTCTTGAGGTCAGCAGTACTTTGCATCTGGAACCTCCTGCAGAATATCCTTTCTGAGAACAGAAGCCTGAGCCACAGGTCTCTCCATTTGTAAAACAGGAGAGACTTACTAGCGTCTGAAGAGTCTCCTAATAATGACATGAGATACAAGACATATTGTGTTCGCCACAGTGTCTGTGTTGAGATAAACACGTTACAGACACACCATGGGGCTCTTCCATTCATTCCCATCAGGGCTGACTGTATAACAAGAGTGAATTACAGTTTTCTCTTCTTTCCCTTACCAGGAAGATGTCATCAACACTCAGTGTGGCTATGATGCCAGGCAAAAACCAGTAAGTGGGCCTTATCTTGTTGCTTAGCAAAAAGGAGAGCTTTTGCATATGCATAGTGCTATATCTGTGACACTCTGTTCTTTTCTGCCCTTGTAAAGGAAGTTGACCAGCAGATTGTAATATACACAAAAGGCTGTGTGCCCCAGTTTGAGAAGTGGTTACAGGACAATTTAACCATCGTGGCTGGCATATTCATAGGCATTGCATTGCTGCAGGTAAGTCAAGGTTCTTCATGGACACTACATGGCAAGGTTCCCCTAGGAGCACTCTTTAGAATGGGAGGTTTGCTGAATCACCTAACATTGTAGTTTGTAAGACACATTAGATGGCTTGGGAATAAAACTGTTTGGTGCTTTATTAAAGCCCTGTTTTTAGATCCTATATACTTCAGGAAACCTGTGTTCGTTTTTAAGCTGGTGAGATCAGTTGGGTCAGTGGTTGTCTGCTGGCATTTTGTCATGCCCATTGGGTCAGGAATACTGATCGGGAGAAGCAGGTCTCCGTGGTAAGGGCAATTCACAGAGCTTCTGTCCCCTTTCTTGCCGGGCTGCATTACTTGCTTAGCCTGCATTTCTTGGACCCTACTAAACTCTGAAAGGTATGGATGTGACACTTGGCGTCGAGAATCACAAGCAGGGCCCACAATCTAGAGAAAGGAAAGCTGTAGATAAGCAGCAAAACACCTTGCATCCTTGGGAAGCAAGACAATTTTGTTAAAGGTGGCATACTCCTCAGATTGATGTATAGATTTCATGTAATCTTTGTCCAAATTCTAGCCACCATTTTAGCCATACATAACACGTGCCTGCCTTAAATTCATACGGAAGTGCAAGGACCCAGAAAAGCCAAAATGAACTTGAAAATGAATAAGTTGGAAGAATCGTAGTTCGCAGTTCAAAACTTTCCACAGAGCTATAGTAAGCAAGATAGCATGCACTAGCCATTATAGATCAGTGGAATAGAATTAAAAATCCTGAAATAAGCCAACAAGGGAACCAACCATTTCAGTGAGGGAACAGCAGACATTTTCAAGAAATGGTTATGGAAAAAGTGAATATCTGCATACTTCATACCTTATAGAAATATTAATTGAAAATAGATTAAGGGCATAAATATAAAAGCTATTTTTTCATTTTGAGTCAGAGAAATCATTTGGATCTGTAGTTGCCTGCTGGCATTCCATTATTTCCATTGTCTCAGTAATACTTCGTTGGCACAGCTAGGGCAGACAGGATCGGCCAGGGGTGGATTTCAGTGGTAAGGATAGGACTTACAGGAGTTTCACTGTCAAAACATAGAAGAAAATATGAAAGTAGATCTTTGTAACTATAGATTAAGCAATGTTTTCTAAGCTGGCATCACCAAAAGCTTGGGCAACCAAAGAAATTATAGATCAATAGGACTTCATAAAGCCTAAAACTTCTATGATAGGGCCAGGGTGGTGTTCCTGTTAATGAACTATTTGAGACCAAATTTCTACACTTCCAATCCAGCTCCCTGATAAGAGAAATTGAAAAGACTATCCTCATAATGAAAAAAAAAATTGTAAATCACTGTCCTATAAGGATCTGATATCTACAGTATATGAAGAAGTTTGCAACTCAACAATATAAGGAAAAGTCAGTTGTAAAATGGTATTGGCAGTTCTCCAAAGAGGATAAAAGTGACTACTATGCATGTGAAAAGTTATCAACATTATTAGTCATTTAAAAATGGGGAATCAAAAGCACAGTGAGGTACTGTTTTACATTCTTGAAGATTAAAATGAAAAAGGCTGGCAATAACATGTATTGCTGTGGATGTGGAGAAATTAGAAGCCTTACACATTGTTGGAAGGAATGTTGCTGGTACAGCCTCTTCAAAAAGCAATTTGGCAATTCCTAACAGGTTACACATAGGATTACCGTATTACCATATGACTTATAGGAATGTCCCCAAAAGAATTGAAAACATATGTTCACCCAAAAACATGTCTGCAAGTGTTCATATAACTTTTTATTCACAGTAACCAAAAGGTGAAAACAGTGAAGATAATGCACCAATTTATAAGTGGATAAACACATAGTATAGTCATCCGATGCAACAGTGTTTGGCCATCAAAAGGGATGAATTGGCCATTCTTGCTAGACAGTCACCTTGGTTTCCTGCCTCAGAGAACCTTGAAGAAACTTTGCATTGCTCCTGCACCCTGGGCGGTCATGCAGTCAGACCTTCACCACCACCTTGCCATAGCACTAGACTGGCCATAGACCCCACCACCAACAGTGCAGCCATGCTCGCTTCACAGCCCTATCTTCAGGATCCAGTGGCCAGATGAACCTGGAGCTCCACATCTCTTCCCTCTCTCTGCCAGTGGCCTGCCTCAGGAGGAGAGGCAAGTTAGTGAGCCATCAGAGAAGTTGAAGAACTGATGAGGTAGCTAAATCTTCATTCTCAGAGAAGGAAGACTGGGAGAGTGGGTTACATGGAATGGAATCTGCATTTGACTTGGAAAAATCCAATCACTACTGGAAAGGCACAATCTGGCCTCTGATTAAAGGGATCCTCACTTGAGTGACTTTATTGAGACTCGTTGTCAGTAGGTGAAATCCATCCAAGAATTAAGTGACCACATAAAATAACTTGCTTCTGGAATCTGGCCTGATTGAATATTTGCTTCACACACATGCCCTTGGAGACAGGAGTGTTTAGAACTAAGCTTTAGGCTAACTTTCCCACAGGTAGAAGGCAACTTGTCTGGTCACCGAGGCAGTTCAGTGCATGTTGGAGGAACTTTTACCCCTTCTGGAAGTTTTCACCAAAGAATCTACCCAAATAAGCTCTCATTGGTACCATTCCTTCAAATAAAGACATGTGACCCCTCTGCCTCTCCAAAATAATTGAGCTACTTCCTGGTATATGTGGCTGACCCCTGAAAACATCCTCCTACATGTAAAGAAAAAAGACACAGAAGTCACATGCTGTATGAGAGCATTTGTGTGAAATGTTGAGAGTAGGCAAAGCAGATTAGTGGTTGCACGGCTATAGGGATGGGTAATGGAAATGACTCTCATGGGTGCAGGGTTTCTTTCTGGGTAACGTTCTATAATGAGATAGTGGGGATAATCGCATAGCCTTGTGAGTATATTAAAACCTGCTGAATTATACACAATCAAAGGATACAGCTCACTTTGTATAAATTTTATCTTTGATTTAAAATCTTTGATTTTTTTTTTTTAAAAAGGGGGTATATGGCAGCCAAAGAAAGCTCAGTGAAGTTGAAAGTTTCACCCTTTGACTCGTTCTCCTTTTCTTTTCTCAGATTTTTGGGATATGCTTGGCCCAGAATTTGGTTAGTGACATCGAAGCTGTCAGGGCCAGTTGGTGAGCCCCTTGCCATAGCCCTGTAAGACACTGGACACGCCCAGCCTTCACCACCTTCCCACGTGCACGGACCGAGTGCAGAGGCCTCCTGCCGCCCACCCGATGGAGCTGCCGAGAACTTGTTTCGTGGGGGGTGAACCTGGGCAATGCTGCTCCCTGATGGAATTTTTTTAAACAAATCACCAGTATGAAAGTTGTTGCGCCGTGAATCTCTACTGTAGCCATGAGTTTATGGATGGTTGGACGCGTACCAAAAAAGCCAAGCGGGGAGTGGGGCAGGTGGGACGGAAGCTGTGGAAGGCGCTGTCTTGTCCTCTGCTGCACTAACTGGAGGACCAGGAGAGGAGGTTCTGCCCATTCCATCCTCAAGAGACTGAGGGACCATCTTCTGTCCTGGGGTCTGAAGAAGCTCAGCTATTTGGACATGCGGCCTCCTGCTTGGGAAGACAGTGGCTTTTTGGCATGCCACCACGCCCATTTCACAAAGCTGAAGAAGAAAACATCTTGTGTTTGGGTTCAGATACTTTTAATCACATCCAACAAGCGACTTGGGTGGACGCCCTTGCCCCGTCTACTTATTAACAAGGTGGTGTGTCCTATGGGCATGAGCAGGCGTGTCAGAAGACTCTGCGATGCTGTATTTTAGCAGGACTGAGCTTTTTTTCCCCCCCAAGTAGGATTGAGCTTTATTTATCCATGAAACCCAAGGAGAGAATGAGGTTAATGAGAGGCATTAGTGAAATACTCCTTACCACCAAATCTGTGGTTGGATTCTTCGGAAATTCTCAAATACTCTGGGTTGTCTGATTGTTCTGTTTTGTGTTTTTTGTCTTCCAAAGGTGAAAGCTATGAGAGACTCTGTTCCTCTTACATTCTAAAGTGTTGTCTTACTCAGTTGGAGTTTTTTGGGGGGAGGGGTATAATCCTAAACTGCATGACCTTTGGATCTGAACCTGCCTTCTCCCTTTCCTGCCATCTTGCCTGCAGAGCATTGGAGCTGTCACTCTGCATCAATTGCATAGGCTCACTGCCTTGTGATGGTGTGGGGAGGCAGGCCAGCCCAGCTGGGAAGTGACCGGCTGCTCCTTCACAGATACTTCCATGGACTGAGGGTCCATCCAAGTAGCCTGTTTTGTACCTTCTCCTTCCTTCTCTTTGAATGCAATTGAACCCAGTTCCAAAATAGTTGACACCATCAAACACCTTCTAAAGGGAGATTCTTCTTGCAGTCTTAGTTTGCTGTTATTAACAGAAGGAGATAGTGCACGGCCAGGACCCCTTCTGGTCTTTTACTGTAGAGCAGCCATCGGAACAGTAACAAAGCACAAATATTCTGGAAGCGAGTGTGTGGGAGCAGGGCACCTGTTTTGAGCCACATGTTGGGGCAGCCACCTCAGGGGCTGCCGTCGTCCTTGCTGCACTCCGGGTGGGAGTAACGACTTCTGCCCCCTGGGTTTTAATTCAGCTGGTGTCTGCGAGCTCCTGCTCTGTGGGGAGCAAATATTAAGCTGTGGAATGCTAGGGAAGCCACAGGCGTGTTTTACAGTGGTGACACATTTGCTAGCACATGACTTAGCCTACCTGGTGGCAACACAGTAGCTGATGGACGTTGTCAGTCTGCTCAGAGAAAGGACCGAAACTCTTTTAAGCTCTTTGTCTCCAACGTGTGGGTGTGTGTGAGTCTGCATGTGTGTGTTTTGTGTCTATGTGTAGGTAGAGCTGCTCATTCTGTATTCTGCCTGTTAAGAGTAACTTCTTGCCTCCCTGCCTCATCACAGTTGTCGTTTTGTAATGTCATCCCCATGTGGAGAAGACTTGATATCTCCGCTGGCACTTTTGTCTTTTTTATTACCTCATTCTCCAGTGAAGTCCATCTGACCAGCTGACTCAGCATCAGGCAAGCTCCTCCACCCTACGAGACATCCAGTGAAAGGCCAAACAAGTTTGAGTTTTAAATTTTAATTAATCACCCTTTATTTTTTACACTAAAGAGTGATTGTAATCAAGATTGTCATTAATAAACTTGTTCTGTTTCACATGGAGTTATGTCTTGCTTCATTGCTTCTCTCTGGAAATTATAAGCTTCACATCCAGAAACTCTCAGCTTTTGTTCTGGATCGGAGTTTACATCATGCCTGAAACTTCTGACTTGGTGAGTCCAAGGTGAGCTCAGAGTGCATTTCTGACAAGTTCCCATGTGAAGCTGTTGCTGCTGATTTGGCCAGCACTGCTCCGAGCTGGTGTTGAAGGAGGGAGGGGAAGGGCAGGGGTCATGGAGGGAATGTCTTTGCACTGCCCCATATGGCCTGAAGAGTGACGAGTGACCCCTGACCCTGAGGTTCCTGTGTATCAAGTGCAGTGGCCTAAAGACCATTAAAAATCCTGATTCCTGGGGTCTGCCCAGAGAAATTTTGGCTGGGGCTCTGGGGTGGGGCTTTTTTTTTCTTTTTTTTAACAGCTCCTGTGTACATTTAATGCACAGGAGGAGTTGAGATTCAGAGACTTGGATACATGTGGATGATGTATGCAACCTCTTTATAATAAAACTCAAAATTCCTTGGAGCAGGAATCCTCAAGGCTCCTTTAAGGACTAGTCCCATGTGGCTGTGCACCACAGGGGACACAGATCTGTCTCTCTGTCTTGGTAAGATTTGTTTACATGAAAGAGTCATCGTACAGGGAGAAGGAGAGACAGAGATCTTGTGTTGATTGGTTCATTGCCCAAGTGGTCACAGTAAAGCAGTGCTGGGCCGAGGTGAAACCAAGAGCCAAGGGGTTGGGAGTTTATCTAGGGCTTGCACATAGGTTTCTGGATTCCACTTGGGCCATCTTCTGCTTTCCCAGGTTCATTAGTAGGAAGCCAGATCAGAAATGGATCAGCCAGCACTTCTATGGATGCTGATATCACAGGCGGAGGCTTAACTCACTGAGCTACCAGGCTGCTCATCCCCCACCCTCCCCCTCCTCCCCGCCCCCACCTACTGCTTTTATGGCTGAGCAAGACTTGCAAAGATCAAACCAAAACACTTAAGGTTGACTTCCCATCCTTAGTCCCTGACACTGGGAAGTCTTGCTTGAGAAACATTTTGTTTGACCTTCCCAGATATTTAAAAGCAAAAAAAAAAAAAAAAAAAAAAAAAAAGGTATTCTGAGTTGAAGGAAACTTGGTGGTATTTGGAGATGGCCAATTCCTGTGTATCTTTTTCTTACCCTGTGAGGTAACAGGCCCTCCCAGTTCTTCACAGTCTAAGCCCACAGAGGAGAAAAATGTCCGTTTGCAGGGCATTTTGTCTAAAGAACTCAAAACTGCCACTCTCTCCGATGGGTAGGAGATAGGCATTTGGGGAAATTGTGAAATTTTATTTGTGTTGTCTGATCACCACAAGCTTTAATGTGTCCCTAATTTTAAAATACTCATTGTTCTGTTTTTGTTTTGAAGGGAACTTGTGAACTAAACAGCTGAATTTTGCATCACAAAGTCCTTGGAGAAGTGCTTCTGTTTTTCCTGCTTCTGTTCTCCCAGGGAATGAACTTGCCTTTCAGCTCTTCCTGCCCTGGTCCCAGTCTTCCTGCCCTCGAGGGGATTCTTAAGTGTCTCTTGGCCCTTCCTTATTATTAAGAATGTTTGGCCTTTCAGGCCCCTGTGTGTTTGCGTGGGCCAAAAGGGAATACTCTTGCTTCTTGGTGGGGCTTCTCTCATAGCCTGTTTCCTGCTTCCTTGGACCAGGTCCCTGGGAAGCCCGTGGGCTGAACAATGAGGAGCAGAGCCCAGTGCCCTGGCAGGCCCTTGCTGGCTGTCTGTCGTGGGCTCCGTGAAGCCTGGCTCCTCTCTAGGGAAATCCTGTTCAGACCTCCAAGGAAGAACTGGGACCTTCGTCATCTGCTTCTGGCCGAAGGCCTACAGTGGCCAGCACTCCCCAGCGATGCCCTGACACTGTTTATTCCCTGCTGCAGGTGCAGAGCCTGGAAGGTAAACCTGGAAATACATTCACCTGGGCCATCCCGAGATGCCACCAATAAAATCCATAAAGAACTGCGGTGGGCATTTGGCACCACAGTTAAGGCTAGTCACCTGGGATGCCTGACATCCGATTTTTGAGTGCGTATGATCAAGTCTCAGCACTGGCTCTTCACTCTGGGGAGCAACAGAGGGTGGCTGTGGTGCTTGGGGCCTCCCACGTACTGGACAGCTGGAGCATTTGGAAGTAAGCTGGCAGGGTTCACTCTCTTGTTTGCTCTTTCCCTCTTTGTCAAAGAATTAAAATTTACAGGAAATCTATACACAGCAAACAAGGTGGTCAGATGGTCCTGGGGTGGAGAGGGTGAGGGGAGTTGGGGAACAGGGAATGGAAACCAAATGGAAACAGAGAATCTTCCTCCCTCCCTCCTTCCTTTCATCTGGAGGAATCCACTACAAAAGCAGAGCTTATAAAAATCACAGTTTTTAAGGCTTCCTTAATGCAAGACCTTGAATATGGCTAAATACCCTGGTCAGTACAATGTTTTCCTCTACTTGTAGGCTTTGGAACCACAGTAGATCTGGAGGCAGAGGGGGCCGGAGATAGGCTAACACAATGAATTCAGAGAGGAAGACAGCAGCAGGAAGCCTGGTCAGCATCACCCTTGCTGTTGCCCAGAGGCCACCTTTTAGACCTGCCTGTGAGTGAGCTTTTTGCTGGTGCAGAGCCGCTGATGAGAGCAGGTATGTTTTAGTGGCCTGCCCTCTAGTGTAAGCCTCAGGTAACAGCAAATGGAATGAACACAGGAACCAATACTTGAGAAAACATGAGGGTGCACAGCTGTGTGTGTAGAGCAGGTGAGTGCTTTTTACTCCACTCTGAAAAATGGCCTGGCTTGTTTGGGAGAGCTGAGGAATAGAGCATTTTGTTTCTGCCACCACCTAGGTTATGACCTTGCTGCTGACATTTCATGAGGTCATTGCAGCAGATGTGTGCAAGTGGAAGCTGGGCCTGCCATCACTCCCAATCTCAGTTGTGGACTGGGCAAGAGACTGTTAATGCTTAGAACTGCCCATTGGGGGGCAGAGGCTAAGCTGCTGCTTCGGACACCTGTCATGTAGAACTGCTACGTTTGAGTTCTTGCTCCACCTGCAATACAGCTTCCTGCCAGTATGCGCTGACGTACCGTAATGGCTCCAGAGCTTGTGGCCTTGCTTTTCACATGGGAGACCCAGAGGGAGTCCTGGCTCTGGCTTCATGCCGGCCCAACCCTGGCCAATTGGACAACTTGGGGAGTGAACCAGTGGGTGGAGGATCTCTCTCTCCCTGTCCCCACTCCTATTGTCCTTGCTCATCTGCCAAGCAAGAGGCATTGCGTCTACAAGGTACTGTCGGTGGAGGTTGGAGGGCAGCAGTGTGCAGTCTGCACCCCCTGCAGGGTATGCCACCTTGCCCTTAATGGATCCTGGGGCCCTAGTGTCCCAATTTGCTCCTCTTTGTTCCTCTTCAGCAACAACCAACATAACATTCCCCATGTGTCTGTTTAAAAACAACAGCAACAACATGCATTATCTGAGAATTAGCCACCTTGCCAGTAAAGGCATCAGACAGTGCAGTTTGTTAGCTAACTACAGGGTGAGATGATTATGTACAAGGTCTCAGCAGGTGTAATTCGTTCACACGAGCTCATAATGGAGTAGGATATTTCAAGGGATTTCTGAAGAGTGTCGTCATGCCCTCACCTCTGTCACTGTGACTTTACAAAGCTGACGGTCAAATGGCCTAGCTATACCTTTGTTCCGTGTCCTTGGGAAGTCTTGGAAGCTCTGAGGGAACCCAGCTGCTGCCTCTTCCAGCAGAGTCTCAGTGGAAGCCCCTAGGCAATCCTTCTCAACAGGTGGCACCTGGGTTACAGAGCCCCTGTGGGTGGGGTTAGTGCCCTTATAAAAGAGGCGTGAGGGCGCTTGCTCACAGCGCTTCCACCCTGGGAAGGTCAGTGCACAGGTCGCGAGGAACGGGTCCGCGTCAGCTGCTGTGTTCCTGGTGCTTCCCCGGCCTCCAGCAGGGTGAGT